TTTATCTGAGATTTCGAATTTTTTCCATGTGCATTATTTATCGACTTTGTTTTGTTTTTTTGGTAGAACATCTTTTATGGGAACTGCACCATACTAAGACTAGAAACTTGATTTTCGCTCGAGACCCTAATCCTGACGGCCATAATGGATGCTTACTACACCATGCGGACGAGAATTTTTACCTGCATGTGTTGGACGTCTCTTATATGATTGTTTGGACGTGATCCGCCATTTTTTTTCTCTCAAAAAGGGCACATTTCGAAAAAATGGAATCAAGCACCTTAACGAACACAACTTGCCCTTGGCTGACGACCGGTACAAGTTTTTGTGACTATGCATATCGTTTGGTTGTGAGCTTGTAGTCCTCAGTAGCATTCCAGCATATTTTTCTTCTCAAGCAATGCCCATTTCTTATACTCTTTGCTTTTGTATACATCAGGCAGGCAATTAGTTGACACATTCTTCATCACTTGGGCGACGGCGGCGCGAAACAAGGGTTCGGTATCCTTATAGTGCATTGGATCTTCTGATTGTATCGCTTTCAACGTTCTGTCACGGCAGCTCCCGGTTATATTTATCTCCTTAGGGCTGGAAGATTCTAGAAATTGCGAAGCGATGGAGTGTACCATGCTGATCGAGGCTGGTTTAGTTTGGTTGCAGGCGTAAACAGCGATCAAGAAGTCGACATTCTCTTCGCACAGCTGTTGACGAGCAACTTGTTGTATTATTTTCCGCTGCATTACAAAATAAGAAACACATTTATTCAGTGGTTTTGACACTATTGTACATCATGCCGCAGTGAAAACTTCGGGCTAGGTAACCTACCCTGAATGATACATGGTGTATTGTATTCTGCATGCAGAAATGCGGACAGATATATAATCTACAACTAGCGTGTCTTTCAACAATTGCCAACTGACGCGTGCACTCACTCGCACATACCGTGTGTTCAACCCCGAGCAACTCCTCGACTCCCTTGTTCCGGCTTTCAGACTCTCTGTAGTGCTCGCCCACCATATCAATACCACCGAGGGCGTTTTCCCCACCCCATTTGCGACCCAACACCCGAGCGACCAAGAATGCAAAATTCTCCAGCGAAAAGATCACCAACATAAACCATGGTTGGTAGAAGTATAAATACCAAAGGGACACCTGATTTTCACCCGAGAGTGTGATTACAATCAGCACCCAGAAGAAGAGGACAAATATGGTATACAACCTGATGTTGCTTATGTAGTCGATGAACAAATGACGTGCGTGTCGACTTTTCCACGCACAATAATAGTAGTGAATATTATGAAGAGCCAGGAAGACGATCAATCCCGAGTACGTCTCCCAGAGGTTGCACGTGTGACTTCCATTGAACTGGCAGTACACCAGACTCACGAACGTCGTGCAAAACCACAGCAGAAGATAGCCCAATGGCAAAATCCAGTATGAAACGGCCTCATTCTGCTCGCAGAAAAGTGCTTTGATGTACCTCATTCGAGCCAGGTTTGGTACTAGCAGCTGGTTCAGACAGAATGTCAACCACAGATAAGCCCAGAAAGCAGCCGTGGACCAATCTGGATTCATAGCACCAGTACTCATATCAACGGCTTTCAAAGGCATTATTTGAAGTGTCAGCGCTGCGGTTAATATCAAAACAACCTCTTGAAGTAAGCCCATTCCCAGGAAATGCAGGGTGAAATCGTGGTTGCGGCTGCGTACTTCAGGCTCGTGCCAATATTTGAAAATGAAACCAAGTAGGAAAATCAGGCATATAACAATGGGTATGTGGCAGATGAGGACATAGTCGAACTGTTGGCTTCCACCAAACCCTAGTAACATTTGAATGTTGCCTTCTTCCCGGTATGAGAGCCAGTAAAACACAGCTCCTATGGCAAAGAAGAGCGGATAGACCACAAGTGCTAACACCCAAGAATAAACCGTCGCCTTTTTTCGCAGCGCATCTGATTTCACATTGTAGGCCAACTCCAAATTTCGTTGCGATTCAGCGCTGGAAGAGCCATTAGCTGAAGCCCGAATTGTACCATCCGTAGAAGAAAGATCTAAAGGCTGTAAATATGATCAGGAGCTAGTTGTGAATATCTTTGGTCTGGAGATCACGAGCCCTATACCATTCGAAGGAACCGCGAAGAACCTAGCATTCTCTGATAATTCAGGACTGAAACTATCACCAAGCTAGTGGTAAGTCCTTTTGGGTTGACAATCGCAGGTTCTACACCAAAGTGAAGAGCCGCAACTTGAAATGCAAGGTGAAAACCACCAACGCCATATATAAAAATGCCAACAGGGCCGGACAGTGGAACAAGATATTACCAGACATATGACACAGCTGCATGAGCATACTCACAAGGGCATGTATATCTGTATCGTTTCTATACACAAATTGCCGGTATCTTTTGTGAATACAAATACGTGTATTTATTCACCTGTACAAACATGCGCGTATGTAGCTAAAACAGCGTTCATATAATAGCGAAATTGTATTCATTGATAGCTATATTCATCTATAAAGATACCAGACGAATATGAGAAATACGGGAACCGTATATGTAAAAGCATGTAAAATCTATTTATATACAAAAACAGGTAGATAAATGGAATAAAACAAGATATGTCTATATATATAAAATGAATATATTGTTCCCAAGAGTAAAGAGTATAGCCATATATGCTGATGTGTGTGTGTGCATATAAATATATATATATATATATGAATGTATATATGTATATATGTATATATATGTGTATACATATAAATATGGATATGTACATGAATATATATACCTTATCTGTATATTTATATATATATATATATACATATATATATATGTGTATACATATATAA